ATTAATATACAAGCAAATAACAGAAGTGATATTAAATGTAAAAAAAACTGTATATTGGGTAAGGAATATTCATTTTTATCTTTGAATATTCAAAAATTTGGAATGGAGCTTGGCATTGCACGCTGCACTTAGCCCCACGTAACATTTCCTATACTCTAATATTGTTCGAGAGTTGCAATTATCTCGAGTTCGTTCTATAAATATCTGCTTCGTTTGGGGACCTTCATCGTCCTCCAAAACTGCCAATGTTTCGTGTAAGTTACATCTAAAATAAATAAAAACCCATGGTTTTGTAAAGTATAGGAAACTATTTTACTTTATCTTCCTGTATACCTTATATACCATTGAATATATCACATACTTCCTAATAAATACAGTAAAAACTAAAAATCATAAAATAATTAAAAAGACACGGTAAGCGGCTAGCGGTACCGTACGGTACCAGTAATTTTGACATACAATATTTCCCATTATTATTACCTATCGACGTAATTTTACACCATTTCATAATAAGAGCACTTATGGAGAATATAAGATTGTAACAAAATTAGTATTTCACTATCACACAAAAAAAATATGATCACTTACTTAAATGGTGCGTCAATTTTTAAGAGAAAATTTTGATGCGCTCACTTCGATCATCAATTACACACAACTGAAAAGAACAACTGTCAATTTTTATTCCTAGAAGCATAGACCACATCTATTGGCTACGACTTGCATCAATCAGAGCATTGCATCTTTTCACGTGTTAATGTATAGAGCCAAATTAAAGCACACAGAAAAGTGGTACCATATGGGACCGCTAGTCTATAATGGGTTAAAGTGTAGTGTTTAAAATAAGTTATGTCATTGTCTTGAAATTGTTAGGTATTGTATCTTATACCGATTTTATTAGGTACTAAATTCTCACAAACAAAACAAACGTGTGGCTTCAACATTAGACCTTATAACAACCTTATTTGGTTACCAAATGACCTTTGCTTGATTTGTTACAAATAATGGGCTCGAATCCGGTTTTTCCACTTTTTCTTAATTAATCATCAACATACTATTAAATTATCTCTTTCCTTCCTTATTTGTACAAAATAGACAAGGCCATGCGTATTGTTATAATGAATGATTAGCATTGTGTTTTTGGACATTTTAACAGGAACTTCTGTGTATTATAGTTACTATAAATACATGTACCACCCACCTTAAGGGCCAATATTATTGCAAAAGGTAAGTAGTGTATCGACATCACTTCTTGTATTGCTTATTTTAAAGGATAACGATGTTTTACCAACTCTTTCAGATGTCGATGTTTATTAAAAATCATGGATACCATATGGATGGTTATCATACAAAAAATTACGAACTATATTTTTAATTCTTCTGTGGCAATACAGGGTGATTTTTGTATCAGTATCCAAATTTATAGGAGAGTCTCAGAATTAAAGAAAACAAAAATTTTTTTTCATATTTAATTATTTTTATTCGCTGCGCGCGGTTTCAAAATTGACTCACGTGGATAATTTGCTTCGTTCATAGAAAAATACATACACACACAGTTAACTGTAAGGCTTAATAGACATTATGGTGAGCGTGAATAAGCAATAACCTTTAAAACTTAAGATATGGGCACCCGCGAATTATACTTTCAATATTTTTTTTTGCGAAAAATACCACGATTAAAAATAATTAAGATTAACTTGTATTGTTAAATTGTTCTAAAGAGCTTATTAAAAAAAATTGGATACTGATAACAAAGTCACCCTGTATATTTCTATTAAAACGGTTTTTCAGTTTTGTCCTTGAACCGGTATTAGCCACAGTTTAGAGGTTAACATGTAAATAACAAATAGGTAGGTACTAATTTAGTAGCAAATAATTATGTAAGTACTGTTTTTTTCCATCAGACTGTCCGTTGTCTCCGGATGTTTTTGTTAAGTGAAATGGAAAATTTCGCCACATTTTGCCGGATATTATGATTTATTCATGTTCAATAATTTATATCGACAGTGTTGATAAGAAAACAAAACTACTCATTCATGTCTTTTGAGATAAAAATGTAAGTATGTCTAGTACAATTTTTTGGTTGTGTCGTGACCAAAACTAAAAGAAAAGAATATTTTAAATCGACTTTACCGACAATTGAAAATAGGTAATATTCTCCTCATCATTTCAGCGACAGGACATAAGCCTCCAATGATTTCCATATATCGCCCGGTTGGTAGCGGCCTGCATCCATGCATGCGGATTAACAAGCTAAAGTAGGTTATATTACGCTCTATAATGCCCTGAGCCAATATAAAATTATTCAAAACATTTTTTTTTATATTGTAAGCCGAAAACAAGATAATTTTTTTGCATCACACCGCACGTGCATTGATATACATGTTTTATTTGTAATTAATTCATTAACCTAAAGATAGCTCTTGATCCCTCAATTCAAGCTATCAGTAGAGGTCACAATCTATCAAATTATTATAAATGTACAATGGTAATTTATTACTGTATCTTGTTTCTAAGAGGATTGTAAACACCATTTAGTTTGAATTTTTATCAGTGCTGACCTTAAGTTTTGTTTCGTTGACACTTTTATATTATTTGGATAGGTTATAAATATTTTTTAATTACTTTACATTAGAAGAGAGACATGCCAAGAGCTTCCTCGTTGTGGATAAAAGAATAGATACTACTTTGAAAAAAAGAATTATAATACAGCATGTGCTGTCAACTACTTGATTAGACGATCCCTAATTGAGGCGCAAATAGTGAGGCTGCACCATCTTACTTTAATTTTGACAAACGTAAAAAATCTGTCAAACTCCATACACAAAACACCGGTTACTCGTATCATCATAGTTACGGTCGAAGTTAGCTGGTGCAATTTTACTGAAAACAAACAATTGAAGTATTTGTTTTCAGTAAAAAGGACATCACAGGCTTAAATCAATCAAAGATTAATTTTTGGTCGTGAAAAATGCATAAGCCAAATATAGTTATTGCAACCGAAATAAGAATCTTTTTCAGGTCTAATCTATCTTTATTTCAAAACTCATTGCTTGCTTTCCCATTCATAAAATTGGTTTGGACTCTAAACTTAACGGACAGACGAATCGGAAATTGTAGCTAATGGCCACATCCCATCCAATATTCAACATCAAAATAGACATGAGAACTGACCCACATGCATCGGTACACCCCACAGTAAAATTAAAACAGCCTACTTATTCATTGATTCAATTAACGCAAATGTCTGTTAAGATATTTTTTGCTGCCTTTTAATTTTAATCTACTTTGTTTTTACCAATAGAATTCAAAAAAGTTTTAATGATCTCAGACATTAGAGAAATAAACCTTCTCTAAAAAGAGTTTGTTGGAGCTTAGGTTATAGTTTGTAGATTCTTGAAAATAGGGGCCTTTTCAATAAGAAGCCATTCTTCGGTGAACATTGGGGTTTTACTTCGGTTTAAACAATATTATAGGTACATTACAAAAATTAAAGCCTTTCTTGTTGGCGGTAAAAAAATGGAAGCGACGCTTTCGTTGGCGGTCGTCGCATAGACCAAAAATTCTCTCGGCTCCATAGACCTCTTTCTATGGAGCATGCTTGATTATAATAGGGGGCGCTAGCGTCGCCGGTGGTGGCGCTGATGTAGCAGCGCGAACAGAGTTGATTATTGTCATTTATGCTCAGATGAAATGCTGTTGCTATAGAAGAGAGAATTTTAAATTTTCTTCTGGTTCGTCATAATTGTCGGCCTTCTCGACGTTATTGACAAAGTGACAATGACACGGACCGTGTGCAGAGTTCATTTCATAGAAATATAGTTGTACTTGTAACTGCTACAAATGTAATGGCTGATCTTATTTGTACACAATGTTGCCGTAACTAATCGATGCCGAAGATTTGACCTCGAATAATCATCGATGCAATTTTAATGCACAATCGATTCCCAGTCGATTTTATTTATAAACCGAGTGAAAAATTACAGGCGTAAGACATGTTGACAGGTTGATCGTTTCATGTTCATTTTGAAATTATTTTTGGCTGTAACTTTCATGAAAATGTAAAATGAATCATGAAAATATAAAATGAAAGACAAAATGCTATTAAAACTTTCAAATGGGTGTACATTTCTCCTCACTAATAAAATTTACATGCGCGTTGAGCACTAGTTTAAAGCGACATTTAGTTAGTATGAAAACTCATTTTAAACTAGTGTTCAACATGCAGTTAACTTTTATTAGCCACTTTAGCGACCACGGGCAGAAACACTTGCATAGATTCAGGATCAAGCCTGTGATTGGTTGATATTGTAAAAATTTAGAACAAATTTGGAACAAAACATGGTACAACACCGCGGTCCGAAGCACTCGTGGGCGAAACGCCTGAAGACTTTTGTCAAATTAAAAACATTTGACGAAATGGGTCCTTGAATTTCACCCCCGCGATATTAAGTACGTTAGACGAGAGGTAAAGCTTTAAGGTCTTATGTAGTTACATTAGGGGTGATTTTGCAACAAAAATGAATGGTTTGATATGTTGTCTGTATTCGTAAATGTCCATCTGGTAAATGCGTCGGTGTAAAATTTTATGAAATGTAATTCCAAGGCAGCTTCCCGACCCGTGGCCATTTTAAATAATATGTTTGCGAAACCGCTATGAGATACAGTCGTTTACACAACACTAGGGAAGCGTTCTACAAAAATACAAAGAAAGAAGGAAAATAACAGAGAAAAAAAAAGTAAGTTGTAAACAGTTGATTTTTAGGTAAATAACAAGGAAAGAAAACAAAACAATACTGCAAAATAAAACCACGGTTGCAATTTTATTTTGTTTTTATTTATTACTAGTCTAAAAAGTTATTTCGAACTAAACTGCGTTTAACCTCTTTGTCACTTTGTTTCATCATCATTTCAGCGATACGACGTCCATTGCTGGAATCTAGTCCTTATTTACGATTTTCAGATAAACAAAATATTGATGAAACCTTTTTCTATCTTTTCAGATTGCTGTACTGGAGAAAATGTAAGTACTTACCTCTAAAATACTTGCTAAGGGTAAAAACTCATTAAGAATTAACAACCTTCTATATCCACATTAAATCCATGGATTTAACAGAAACGCGAAAGCTATTTCATAACCTCTTGAACCTTTCAGACGCGAATAAATAAGCAGCCGAAGGGTTAAAAGGATTTTGGGCTTAGACAAAATTTTAAATATCTCAAATTCCAGACTGTGGCTTTGTATCGAGCCCTTCGGATTTGGAGTTTCGATCTTGGAAGTTGCGTTGTATAAATTACGGTGAGCGCTAAATTGGCAGCCTCCCACACCTTTACGATCAAGCTATAGCTGATGGATATCCAGTAGTCTCACTTAGGACAACTTAGAGATTTTGTATAGGAATTAGGAACGTAATGTTGTCGTCGAACGTTAAACTCCGTCATTTATCGATGAGGTGATAGAATTGGTTGTGTGTAAAAGATAAGACACACAAAATGACATAATCTCCATCTCATGCATCAATAAATTGTTATGCCCTTCAGAAGTTGAAAACGTATTGAACAGAACTAAAAAAAGTATTTTATTAACATGTAATAAAATTGTACATTTAAACGTCATGGAGGTCTTAAATCATTGACTAAATAGAAATTCATGATCTTCAAGTCTTGTACTTTTTATAAAAGGGAAAACTAAAAAAATAATATTGTTACACATTAAAAATATAGCAATGTCAACTATCGTATCAAATGACCACATAATGACATGATGTGACTTGTTGCATCGATGTGGATACAGCAATTATTTGTGACCACAGAGGTTAATCTCTGCAATTAAAATAACCAGCAACATTGAATGCAACAATAAAACAGATGTGGGAAACCACAAAGCCATTTCTACATAGCCTACAATTTTGTGACATAAATTAAAAGAATAAGAATAAAATGGAAATTTCAGACGACAAAATGGATATCAGTGTTGACATCGGATGATCGGACTGCCAATCCCCGTATTCAAAGTACGGGGTACTGTTATACATACCATACCGACAAAGTTACAGACGTGACAGTTGTTATTACGGAAACGCTTTGTTTCGGCGCTTTTTTTTTAGGTTCATTAGTTACTTTGCTCCGTAAATTTAGAAATTAAAACTCACGAATATTACTTGTCTAAACACTCTGGAAACAACACAAATTACGAAGTAAATATTATTATGTCCAGGAATAATGTCTAGAGCCAACAAAACAAAATTACAGAAGTTTTAGTCTGAGTTGCACCACCTAATTTTAACCGAAACTATAACGATAACCGGTGTTTTATGTATGAAATTTGACAGAATTTTGATGTTAGCTAAAGTACGATGGTGCAACGCAGCCTTACTGCTTTTACCTCTACTATGGTATTATCTGACACAGCATAAGAAAAACAGTTTGTGAAATGGCCCAAAACTGATCCATGATTTATTAATAGGGCATAAAATCGAAACGAAGGTCGAAATAGGTAACAAACAGGCCAAATAAAGGCATTGTCGATTTGAAATTTGTCCTTCATGCCGAGAAAACTAAACAATGCGGTAAGCATTGTACATCGAGAGTGGTTTAGAACTTTAACGGAAACTTAATAGTTGATAAAATATGTAGTTTCGGCGATCATTACACAAGTGTTTCAAGTATTTAACAGTAGCTCTAAACTGTAACTGCTCATAGTTGAAAGATAGAGCCTGCCTGACAAACAAAATTAAATATTACTCAATTTCAAACAAAATTAAATATTAGTCAAATAATCATGCTTGATGTGATCTTTTCCACTTCGGAAAACAATAGGGATGTTTCCTGGGTCAAAAAGCAAGAGTTTTAATTAGTCCGTCAGTTAACTTATCAAAAAATACTCTACACGTATTTTTCACTTTTTCAAACTAATGAAAATTTAAAGAGATAAAGCGCGCCAAAGTTCATAAGAAGAGGCCCGTGACGTCAACGCGTGCATAAAAGTGCCGCACGTTGTGACGTCGTGCGGAACTTCAACGCACCATAACTATGTAATTATTTGTTAGATTGAAAAATAAAAATATAGGTATGCGTCCAATATTTTTTGATATTAAACATTACGGACTAAAAAAGTTTTTTTAGGAAACTAGCCTATTACAGTGACTTCCTGCAGACACGTTATTCTTAGGCCCGATTCGATCAAACTTTTATCCGAGAATAACTCCTGGTATAACTGGCACATTGATAATGTCAGTCATAGGAAATATGTCAAAACTGACGATTTAGACGATTATCACACTGCACCGCGCTCCGACGCGTTGTCAGTGTTGTGCCGCGCGTGTTTTCTATACAAACTGAGGTACTTGCACACAATGATTAAATCTGTCGTCCCGCGTACCGCGGCGGAGCGCGGCGCAGTGTGATAATCGCCTTATTCTGAGATTAATGTTTACTCTTGTTTGGTCGAATCCACTCTTAGTCGGTCAATAGTTTGGTCGACGTCTAATTTGTGTGAGAAAACGGTGTTATGCGCATACTTACATACAAAATGTGCTATGAAAAGGTCTATGCTCGATGTTTTTTTAGAGTAGGCGCACACCGTTGATTTTTCGTCGGCCGATAGTTTAGTCGGGCAGTTGATCAGTATGGGCATGTATGGGAGTGCGCACAGCCGATTCGATTTGGCTGATTCTTCATACAATTTAAAATCGGGCACTACTATCGGCCAACTAAAAATCAACGGTGTGCGCCTACTCTTACGAAATCGAATTAGAATGTTCTCCAAACTACCTATCTATCAACAAAATGAGGACTCTAGTCTGCGGGCTATCTAAAAGAAATCCAAAGCATTTCTTTCCAAAAAAGAAGATTTTATTTTGTTTGAAGAGATTCCTTGAGCTGTTTGTTCTTCAGATACTATGATACGGTGAAACTTTAAAGCGGGTGGTAAAAGCTCTACATTTTGAAGCTTCCTCGCGTTTAGTGTGAAATCGAAACGCTTGTAATGCTTGCGTTTCGCGTGTGCAACTATTTGTATTGCTTGTTTTAGAATTCTTACGGACGTTATTAAACGTTTACTTGGTTATAACCTAGGTTATTATTGTGGCCACAGCAACACACACAACATTTTGAGCTTTCTGCTTTTAGTATAAAGTTCAAAATGATTAAACGCGTGCTGTGTAAAGCTGAGTTTGCGTTATAATAAAAAATCTGAGAATGTTGTTTTTAAGAATCCTTAGCAATGAGAAGCGAGATCTATTAAAATAATTTCAATACTCTATATTTTGTAATTAAATCAAAAGTAGGTATTTTGATTTACTTATTACGATCTATTATTCGTGTTACTAAGCGAGTAAAACACTATCAGAATGTAATCAATAAAGATAAGATTTTCCAGTGACTTTTCATATTTATTATTTTATAAATATGTACAGGAGACTTGTAAAAGCAATAGTGATTAATCTGTCAAATAAGTTAATTGGCCATTAAGGACTTTATCAGGAACCGACGGAAGAAGCCCTATCAGATTATGACTATAAGGTATAGATTATTATTTAACCTAAAAACTTGAACCCTTCAAATGGAAATCTCTTGCAGTGACTGAGACGTGAAGTCCTTCCTTCAAGTTTTAATGGCCTTCCAACTCATTGTTCACTCACTCTTTGCCAGACACTCGAAAGACAACCTTATTATTATCAACATAAGACAGCTTGAATATACATAATATCCAGCTGCTTATGGCTATACGCAACGCAATTTTCAACTTTATCGTCCTACAATTATGACTGTGGTTATACCAAGTTGCTTTAATAAAACAAAGATCGAAGGAGTTTCTTCTTAACCCTAAAATAATGTTGTCACAACATTAAGGCTGATTTGCACTACCTAACTTTGACCGTAACTATAACGATAACCGGTGTATTTTGTACGGAGTTTGACAGATTTTTGACGTTTGTCAAAGTTAAAGTAAGATGGTGCAACTGAGCCTAAGATTTTTAAGATTTCGAAAGATAAACAGCGTAGGTATCATAAAAAGATTGTGATTTGTGGGAAAAACCCCCAGATTGTATTTTCTTATCGATAAATTATGAAGGTTATTAAAATTTGAACGTTCATCGTCGTCATTTCAGCCACTGATTGCCAGATTGACCGGTTGTTAGCCTGCATCCAGCACCTACCTGCTACCTTTATAAGTTCGTCTGTCCACCTTGTGAGTGGACGTCTCATGCTACGCTTTCCGGTACGTGGCCTCCACTCCTGAAAATTGCTGCCCCATCTGTCGTCGGTTCTGGGTACTATGTGCCCTCCCCGTTGCAACTTTAGCTTGCTAATCCATCGGGCTATATCAGCGACTTTACATTATGCGTTATAAATGAGTAATTAACTTACTTCCTATTAGTATTTTATTTTGTAAAATCACTACTTTTCTTCAATAGCAAAGCCCTTTCAATATTTTCAATAATTAAAACAATAAACGCAATAATTTGAAAACGTATTGGCTCATATCCTAATTTCCATGAAGTAATGTTATCATATCTTTTGACAATACGCCGCTACCGTTGCTCATAATTGATACCGATAAAATAACTGATAACGTTGGCGACATATTAATTAATGTCAAAATTACTACCTTATCAGTCCTACGAGTCGAGTGTTGAATCGATATAAATGGAAGATTCGGGAGTTATATGTGTCAGATTCTTTTTAAATAGACAATTGCGCATCTGTGATATCGGTTTTCATTTGTTTTCATGGACCATTAATGAAGGTTAGGTACCTTCTGTCACTAAGCGTACTGGCTCTGGATAATTATGTCATTCACCTATAAAATTACATACCTAATGGCTATAGGTGGTTAACTCAGTCAGTGCACGGAAGGTGACGAGACAGAGCATACAAATTTGAAGTCTCGCTGACGTTTCATCATCATCATCATCATCATGTCAGCCATAGGACGTCCACTGCTGAACATATGCTCCCCTAATGCTTTCCACGTTGAGCGATTGGTAGCGGCCTGCATCCAGCGCTTCCCTGCTACCT